TAGCCCTCTCATGCTATAAAGCTAGGCATACACACAAATACACAAATAATTATAGGGCAAACTCTCTCGAGAAAAAAGAGAGAGATTTTGAGCAGCTCGGAAACCATGTTTCCCTAATAATTATAAGCAAATACTGATATGAGAGTCTGAGACAATTACCAAGTTTCACCAACTCTATATTATATTAACGTGTACATAGAGATATAACATATAATTATATTAACCAACCAACTCTAACCTAGCTCTACATACACGTAGACGTTAATATAACCAAAAATTTCTCATAAGATTTTGGTCTACAAGAGTATTCTGGAGATTCTACTCCATAAAATGACAAAAAGTTGTTTAACTGTCATCATGCTTTTCACGGGAATGTTATCGAAAGAATTTTTGGTATATTTAAATCTCGACTTTTAGTTTTTAGATGTGCATCCTCTTTTCCTTATAAGACACAAACGGAGAGAATATTTGTGTGCTGGTTTACGTAGTCTTCTTCGAAAGTTCTACCAAATCAATAATTTTTCTGAATAAAAAACTTCTGATGACAAAGAAGATCTTGAAGAAATTAATAACAAGGGTAAAGAAATTCTTAGAACTGAAGATCAACAAAGAGAACATGCCAATCAAGTGAGAACGACAATAACAACAAAATATGTGACGGATTTTATGTTATCCTAATAACATATGCTATAGAAAATGATAAAACATATGTTGTAGTTTTATACATATTTTATTTTGTTACAAAGTTGAGCTTATCACAAATCCATTTGACTGATTTATAATAATTCAATTACTTTTATTTTGAAATCTATTTCATGGATTCTGAAATCTACTTATTTGATTCTAAAATGTGTGGATTTGTCAAAAAATTGCAAAATCCAAGAAGAATTTCTGAATCTATAAAAGACTAGAACCAATAACCTCCACTTAAACTGTTATTTATTATTTTTTAGATTTTGATAATTATGAGAAATTTAAAGAGTTATACTCCCTCTATTTCAATTTAGTTGTCGTTGTACAGTAAAATTTTCATTTCAAAATAAGTGTCGTTTTATAATTTCAATACAAAATTTATTAACTTTATCTACTATTCTTTTTTTTTATTGGTTGAAATGTGGTTAAATATATAGGTAATTTTTTTTTATAGAAAATATAAAAAATTAAATGTATTCTTAATATGAGTGCAAAACCCCAAAACGAAAACTAATTTGAAATGGAGGGAGTACCATGCTTGAAAGCAGAATTCTAAAAACGGCGCCAATTAAGCGCTAAGTCTTATAAAACCATGGAGATTACCTTATAAACTATCTAAACAATTACAAAATTTTAATAACAAATAATATACAACTTCTTATTAATAATTATAATAATAAATATATTATAATGTAAAATCTTATATAAGTAAAATAACATAAATTTTATCATTAGTGAATAGTAATATTTAATTAATATAAAATATTATATAGCTTTAGCATATAGTTATAATTTATAAATGCCTAAACTGCCTTACTTATAATCTAGGCATCCTTTTAATCGCTTTAGACGTTAGGCGTTGAGTCACTTAGCACCTAGTACTTTCTAAAACACTTCTTTAAAGTTCTTTATCCTCCATCAAGGCACTTCTTTATTTTATCTTTTTTTTGTTTTTAAAATATTTGGTCCACTTATATCTTTTCACTGGACAAAATTATATTATTTTTTTAATGATAGTCATTTAAGTCTTAAAACTATATTTTGATTTGCCCTTTCAAATTACATAATATTTTTTTAAGTTTCGTTGAATAAAATTATAATTTCTTACATAATTTATGTATAGTTAGTTTTATATAGTTTTATTTAAAGGTTTAGATTTTAATTTTAATAAATGATGTAATCAAATATTCTATATAAATTTTAATTTAAATGATTATAAACTAGATGAAAATAATCTATGAGGATTGTCATTTTATATTTCATTAGTTGTGCATAAGTTTAGATTTCAAACTTAAGTTTATAAAATAATGCGAAAGTATGAGATGTTAATATAATTAATTAAAATTTGTGAAGAGTAAATTTAATAGAAATTGCAAAAAAACAAAATTAAAATTATTATATCAACTAACCCATGCTATAATACAATACCATACTTTAAAATATAATATTTTACTTTTAATATCGTAATCCCTGTAAGTTTACTATGTATTGTACTGATTTATACTTTTTAACGGAATAACATATGTTCATATAAAATTTATTTGTATTTTAGTATTGTATATCCCAATTAAAAATTATAAAGAAATAACTACATAGTATATAAAATAAAATAATTCATGTATCTAGTTTATCTCACATTTTTTTTTTTGTAACAAAGTAATACATCTATAAACATCGATTGCACTACTCAAATTTTATTTTTATAAGAATAATATAAATGAGTTAATTTGTTTGCTAAAAATTTCCCATATTTTATTAATATGCTGGGTGATTGATAAAATAATGCGTAAAATCTATGAACAATAAAATCTTAACTGCTACTGTTTCTATATTACTAAAAACTATTTATATTATTTAGTTTTATTGTTTTATTTTTAGTATGTAAATACTTATTTTCTAATTTTAATATCTACATTTAAAAAATAAATTATAATTAAATTAATATTTAAATTTATAATATTTTCTAAAAAAAACTATATCAGAACATCTAAAATTTTCAATATTTTGTGTGTATATAGACTTTAATTTAATTTTAAATTTATATAATTACTTAATAGATTAAAATATTTTGATATATTTATTATTTAATTCAATACTTAATAATGATATAAATTTATATAAGAATATAAAAAATTATATGGTGTATATAACTCGAAATTAAATCCATATTAGTGTATAATACGAAATTACTTAATTATTTAGATATTTATAAAGTTTATTTTGTTTCTAAACTATATATGTGTATTATATATATAAAGGATATAGTAAGACCTTATTGAATTGAAATCTTAGAAAAACAATATATGAGTATCTTTTTAACTATAGAAATATTTAAATATGTAGGTCAATAATTATGCTGTTTGGTGATATATTATGGTGCATAATTAATATAAGGGTCAAAATTTAAGACATCAAGTTGTGTTTTAGTTTTTATAGTATTGATGTTTAAAAAGCTAGATTTAAGACTAACCAAACAATAAAAAGAAAGTTTATGACCAAAGATTCTGTTTATTGAAGTGTAGAAGTGGAGAAATTTTAAATTTCTAAAAATTTAGTTTTGTAGAATTTTAAATTTTGTATTAAAAGTTTTAGGTTTTAACTATTGAATTTAGTTTTTTCTCAAATAAACATCAATTTTTTTCCTACAAAATTATATTTTTAGAAATTTAAAATTTCTCCATAATTTATTTACCTTCTCGCCTAAATATTAAAATAAATTTTAAAATCTTTTATATTTTCTTTGATGTTAGAGATTTTTTTTTGAAATTTATTAGTATTTTAATTAACATAAAGAATGTTTGGATATAAAAGGGGTATTATTTTAAAACTTTTTGTGTTAAAGCGAGCAAAACAATTAGTTGAATATTAAGTGAGCACGAAAAAATTAGATATTAAAAGGTTTAATGAAATTTGGTTAGAGTATTTTTATGGAATTTTCTCATATAACAACTATGACTTTTGAAGTACTTCCCGTCACATTTGAAGCAGATACAATCCCTTCTTTTGCATTACACTCATTTGTGAATCTTTGTCTAGGTCATTGATAAGCCGTGTCATAAGATGGGAAAGCTACTTGATACATTAATTTTATTTCAAAAGGACATCATTTCTTAAATAACATTTAATCTGATAAGGAGGAAGGAGCAAACATTATCGATCTGTTAGAGAAGTATGCACAGATATATAAAGAAACTAAAATCATAACACGGAAAACCTAGGTAACAGTTTCTATTTATTTCATTTCAAATACAAATTTTTTTTATTTGTTTTAACTTCAGTAACGATTTGATTGAAACTGATATGATTTTTCCTCCTATTTCTTGTATCATTCACTGAAACTCGTACAAAAGAAAAATTAACAGACTTCCATCAATATCTCATTGTCTGTTGTTTTTCTCTTTCTCATGACTAACCATTAATGTATCCTATAATTAACTTATACAAATTCAGAACAAAGTATATATATACCTTCCCGTGATCTCAAATCGGAAAGCACTTCCTTCTTATATTTCTCTCCCTTTTAGATTTTCTTTAACATTTCCTTGCCATAAGCAATACAACCATGGCAAGGATCTCTTTTTTTGTTATCTTTAGCCTTCTCTCTCGCCCTTTTCTCAATGTTCCTTTCCGTTGATAGTTATGAACCTCCATCACCATTATTTCCAAAAACCGTATCCGAACTCCAAACCTTACCCTTTCTCAAAATCACTGAGATCATAAACCATAAGGAAAAGTTTCCCCCAAAAATCGCCAAAATTAAGGCAATGTTCACAATGTGCAAAGGCTATGTCAAGTACCTTGAGAGCCTCTACAAATTTGGGAAGCCCATCGTAGATGTTTCTGGAATTTCCAAGACCAAATATGCCCTAACAACCAAAGCTATTCTTGCAGTGGAAGCTAGTATTAGCGGTAAAGTCGATAAGAAAACTCCCTTGTAGCTAAAGGAAAGTTGTGTTGGTTTTATAAAAGGGCTTCGTCATATTCAAAATGTAATCTCAAAGATCTCAGCCAAACATAATTACAAGGCTGATGCTAGCATCAGCTTTCGTGAATCAAATAAGATTAGTGATGCTATACTGTATTTCAGGAGTTCGATCACGGATTTCATGGATCTAGTTAACGATTTTGAGGAACAGAAGCTGAACAAAGTTGCTCATCATGCAAGAGCTCTTGAAGAACGAAGAGAATTAACCAAATAAAAAGCAGGGAACAACATCACTGAAAAGTCAACGGTTCGGACCAAAGTAAGTATGAAAAGTATTTCCAGTTCTTTGGTTCTTTCCTAGAAGATAAGCAACACAGAAGAGAGTTAACCGTAGAACAAACCGGTGGAAAAATCAACAACTTGAATGAGAAATTTGCTAAATATATGCCTTACCTAAGAGATAAAGATAATGGAAGAAAACTACTAGAAGATCAAGCAGGAGTCAATAACGGAGCTCAGAGCAGTGGAGAATTTAAAGGTTTATTCAAAGATTTCTTCAATTTCAATAGTGGGGAAAATTTTTTTATGGATGATACTGGGAAGATGAAAGTCGCCGGAAAAGATGGATTAAGGTCAATTAACCGGGCACATAGATTATAAACTATTTGTCTCTAAGGAGGCACAATATCATGCAATTCATCAAAACAGACGAAGGAGACCATGAGTTCATCTTTATTTAGATTTTTTTTCCTTTTAATATTATTGTGAAAGAAAATGACATGGGATGCTTATCTATATGTAACTAAATGAAACTTGCGGTATCTCTACCTAATAATTTTCTTATCGCATAATTAAACAATAGGCCGAAAACTATAGTTTAGTATGTTTTTTCTCAAATAAAATTGATTAAAACAATAGGCCGAAAACTATAGTTTAGTTTGTTTTTTATCAAATAAAATTGATTAAAACAATAGGCCGAAAACTATAGTTTTAACTATTGAAACTTTTAAATTGTGTAAAATCTTAGGTTTTAGCTATTAAATTTTGTATTAAAACTTTTAGGTTTTAACTATTGAATTTAGTTTGTTTTTTTCTCAAATAAACATCAATTCTTTTCCTACAAAATTAAATTTTTAGAAATTTAAAATTTCTCCATATTTTATTTACCTTCTCGCCTAAATATTTTCCAGTTCTTTGTTTCTTTCCTAGAAAGTAAGCAACACGGAAGAGAGTTAACCGAAGAACAAACCGGTGGAAAAATCAACAACGTGTATGAGAAATTTGCTAAATATATGCCTTACCTCAGAGGTAAAGATAATTGAAGAAAACTACTAGAAGATCAAGCAGGAGTCAATAATGGAGCTCAGACAGTGGAGAATTTAAAGGTTTATTCAGAGATTTCTTCAATTTCAATAGTGGTGAAAAAGTTCAAATGGATGCTGCTGTGAAGATGAAAATCGCCGGAAAAGATGGATTCAGGTCAATGAACCGGGCACATCATAAACTATTTGTTTCGAACGAGGCATTATAGCATGCGGGCACATCATAAACTATTTGTTTCGAACGAGGCATTATAGCATGCGATTCATCACAATAGACGAAAGAAGCCATGAGTTCATCTATATATATATATATATATATATATTAACTTTTATTATTATTGCTTAACAATTTGAAAGAAAATGCCTTGAAATATTTATATAAATATATTAAAAATCAGGTATTTTAAAAATAACATAAAAACTCTTCGAAACATCATTTATTTTGGAACAAAATAATTTATTCTGGAAAGAGAACCAGAACATAATGCTCCAACGATAAATAAGAACAATGTCTTGAGCAAACTTAGAATCGGTTCAGACAGCTAAATACACATTAAAATGGAATCAAACTGTGACTGAGAAAGATTTATAAGTCGTAGTTTGAACTAAGTAAAACGGAAGAGCAAAAACGAGTCAGATTCTCCAGATCTGACAATATTCTTTCCTTATGACTTTTTTCTTTTTTTTTTTGGAAAATTGGCATCTCTTTCAATAAGACTTACCAAGTTAATTAATATTAGTTTTCGGAGAGGTTGCAACCGTTGACGCTAATCCCACAGTCAAGAATGTCGATTTCCGAAAGAGAGAAATGAACCACATATATGATTCTATTCATAACTACAAGAGACACGGACACATATGCCAATTCCACGAATCTTACTTCCTTAAATACTATAATTGTTCAATTATTAACTAAATCGAGCCACTAAGAAAAGTTTTTGTTTCCCTTCTACAAAAACAACCACATTTAAATCAATAGTCTCTCCGTTTCAGTTTATTTATCGTTGAAGAAAAAAAATTTCGAAGTGTCTTTTTATAATTTTAATGTAGAATTTATTGACTTTATCTATTATTATATTTTTTTATTGATTGAAATGTGGTTAGATATATAGGTAATTGTGTTTTTTCAAGAAAATATATAAAATTAAATGTTTTCTTAATATGTGTGCGAATATCTAAAACAACAACTAAATTGAAACGGAGATTGTATATTCTTAAATCATATACAAATTTAGTAGAGAAATGGTTTAGTAGTATCTGGGTATATTCTATAATTATAAACCTAACAAGCATTAACCATTTTTATATAACTTGAGAATTTTTGCCTAATATCGTTTATCCCAGGCCCAGCCCTGAAAAACTAAAATAAAACAAAGCTTGAAATCTCCCCACAAAAAAAAAAAGACCATTTATCCCAGGCCCAACCCTGAAAAACTAATATAAAACAAAGGTTGAAATCTCCCCACACAAAGAAGGACCATAAGGTGAATTTGAACTTGCTACCTATAAGAGAAACAGCTGCTACTTTAACCATCTGAGCTAGTGATAAATTCTACAAAAATGGTCGAAAATTCTATTTTATAGTAAAGGCCGGAAGCAGATGCTTGTACTGCTTCTGTCGAGGGCCACTTTATCCCTATCAATATACTAATGCGTTTTGTAGTTAAACTAGGTGTTGTGCTAGCACATTCGAACATAATTTTCTTATGAATATTTATTATCTTTTGTCTTATTCATTCCAAAATAATATAATAAATTATTTTCTATGGTTTTAAAGACTTAAATCTAACATAAAATTATTTTTATATGACCAATTTTTAAAAAAATATATATACTTATTATTGTGTTGAAAAACATTTACATATTAAAAATATTTTAGAATATATTTTTGTAAAAATTGTTTTTAATCTTTAATTTTAAATTCTCTTATAACTTAAATTTTTAGCTTTCATAATAGGAAAAAAAATCATTCCAGATAACGACATAATATTATATAACAATTATCTTATTTTTATGTATTTATTTTTCTAATTATCCTACTAATTTATAATCAATTATCTAATATAATATATAAATCTTAATTATTATTTTTAATTATTTGTAATTATATAATAAATTATATGTAAACATTAAGTGTATTATTTCCAGAAAACATCATAATATTCTATAAGAATTATCTTATTACAAATATGTATTTATTTTCATAATTATCAATTTAATTTGTAATTATCTGATATAATATATAAATCTAATAATATTATTTTTTACAGAATATAATTTTCTCAAATCAACACTTTCGGGAAAAAGATACTTAAATAAAAATTTATTGAAAAACCAATGTCTTCATATTTAAATTATAAATGATTTAGAATTTAAAACATATATACCTTTATCTATAAGATTTTTACTTTAATAAATCTTTTTTAAATGTTATTAGTAATTAAACAATTGATATTCTTTAATTTATGAATTTATTTATTTTAGATAAAATATTAGTTCAATTCTAATTATTTTTAAAAGTTAATTTTTAATTTTGTTTTGAATTAGTCTAAGTTTTGTTTTTATTAACTATTAAATTAAAAAAGGATGATATTGTCAGAAATTAGACGGGAAATGTCATCAATTTTTTTTGGAAATTGCTGTCCTAATTTTGTCGGAAAAAGTTTCTGAAAAAAATTAATTTCGACAAATCAGAACTAATGAATATTTTTGTCGATTTCTTCATCGGAAAAAAAAAAACATTTCTACGAAAATATGACTATTTTTGTCGTTGAGGTCTATATTTTCTTGTAGTGGAACCACAAGATATAATCACACACTGACAGTTGCATCCACAAGATAAAACATACAATGTCGTCAAGACAAAGGGGACAGCCATAGACGTAATACAGAGGAATAATCACACTTCTGTTTTTCCAATCATGCCATGCATTTTTATACTCTTAAATAAGAGGAGTCATCAAAAAGACTTTAGGAAAACAACCATCAGTTGTGCTGCTATATAGCGTAGTCCTCTTCATACTCTCGCTTCTTCCTCATCACTACCTTCAATACTCGCATCACCTTATTAGAACAAGTACGAATTTTGAATTACTTTCCATCACATTTGAAGCAATACCTTCCCTTCTTTTGCATTAAGCTCCGTATTTCTGAATATTTGTATAGGTCATTGACAAGTCAATCTGAAAATGTGAAAGCTACTTGGTACATTTTATTTCAAAAGGAAACAATTCTTAAATAACAATTAATTTGATAAGAAGGAACCAACAAACATTTACTTCTGTTAGAGAAGTATGCACACATATATAAACAAACTATAACCCTAACATGGAAAGCCTAGGTAACATTTACTAGTTTTTCTTTTTGTGAATGAATGTTAAATTAAATTCAGATTAAAAAAAAAAACAGTTTTACAGTAAATATAACATTGTTGTTTCTATTAGAAATTAGAGTCCTTTATATTGATTCACACCAAATTGCAAAAGCTTGACCATATTTCCCACGACCAACACCTTGGAGGTTATCCATCCGGTTCCGGACCACTCTGTCCACGAAGTTAATGATAGAAGTTTGGTTTTTAGAAGATTCGCCATGTCTCCTGTGATGTTTCTTTCTTGCCATAAAGTGTGTATCAGAACTGAAACACATAGCGGATCTGGAGGGATATTGTCTTGTCTCTAATGTTGGACTGCAAAAGAGTTAGGACATCATCCCATTGACTCGTGTATTGAGTATGAAGCAGCTTCTTTGTGAAATTGCTCCATATTGGTTCTGAGAAGTTGCAGCTGAAAAAGAGATGGTCTTTGGACTCGATCGGGTGTGAAAAACATTTTCTATTTAATCATAACAAAAAACGAATTTTTGTTTTGTTTGTTTTAACTTAAGTAACAACTTGATTGAAACTGATACGATTTGTTCTCCTATTCTTGTATCGTTCACTAAAATTCTTTAC